AATCTATGTGTAAATTGCTTTTCAGGACTATGAGTGTTTGGCCATCCAGATTTCATAAGTATAACTGGTGTTCAATTACAAGGGATATTAATCAGTCTCTGTGGCCGATATAAACTGTTCCTAGTTTCATCCTCGGGTTACTGTAGGCATAATCCATTTCTTAATGTATTAATTATAGCAAGAGATTGCATTATGTTACAATAAATATAATGGATTTTAATCCAAAATATTGTATTAATTATTGTCTTTTTAAATATTATAATAAATTGGTGAGTTGTACAACATAGAGAATACTATATTTGAATGATAATTGAAACACAAATTGTTATAGAGCTCAAAACTATGTACTTATCTAATGCAATTAATATACTGAAACAGTTTTATTGAAACATATTTTATATTTTACCTCACAGAGACTGATGTGTAAGCTTATTGTGAAGATTTCAAATCAAATAATCAGTCATCAAGAGGGCAAATATAGATAGTTTACTTTATTAATTTTCAGTATGAATGAATGCAATTTTAAATCTATAATTATATTTGTTGACCATGTTTGTTTATTGTTATTCATCATGTTCAGTGCTTTATCTTTTCAAAGTAATTAGTTATAGTGAAGAAATATAATAGATAGTAATTTATAGATTTGTAATTTATTTCTCTTGCTGGTTCCACACAAAAAAATGTATCAAAATATTTTGCCTTTTTCACTTACTTTAATTGACTACCATTAGTGTTTATTACAATTCAACATTGTTTATTTCATTTACAGAAAAACATTCAAAATCATATGGTGATGGTTCGAACACAAGTCAAGGAAGTCCAGAATTATAATACAGGCCAATAAAAAGCTGGATATTTGATTGGAAGTAGGGCACAAAATAGATGATTTATTACTAGGGACAGTATGGAAACAAGCTGGGGGTATAGTTCACTGTTGGGACAGCAAGCCAAATATATCTAATTTATTTGAATGATTTTTGCTATTTATTATGATTAACACAATTGTAATATTATATATATATATATATATATATATATATATATATATATATATAAAATTCCTAAAATAGAATTTCTTAAAATGATGTATTATAATATTTAAAAATGAAACAAACATTTTCATTTTAATTTGCAAAAGCTACATTCTGTACATTATTATTTTCAAACCGCGTTATATATTTTTCTCTTCTCTGATAAAAAATATTCCTCTCATTGTTTTTGTCATGTATTTTAAATTGTTCTATGAATCACTATAATCCTATTTTAAAATAATTACTTTTATACGAATTGATTTAAAAACTGTTCTTTATTGATTTATATCATTTTCTTTATTTCTGATGAACATGGATGAACTAAATTCCTTAGTCTTCCCTTAAGCATTATTACTCCTGTATTTCATTATCCTGTAGTAATTATAAACTACAACATGTTTTTTTCCTTGACATGCAGTTACAACACTTGTAACTGCATGTCAAGGAAAAAAACATGTGTCCCTACATGTGTCCTACACCTACAAGTTAATTATTGCTTGTGCATTCCAGTAACCTGTAGTATCAACGTACACCTCTCACATAGACAATAACCTGCATGCGATTTCTCCTGACCACCTTGTCCTGAATACCTTCAACTGTGTCAATGTTGTTACCAACTCGAATAATTAAAACTGAAGCCATTTACTATGAAGTAAACAATGGGTGTAATCCAAATCCACCCAGTTGCTGGGGACAAGGTACCAAATATGATGTCCATTATAGGGTTAAGAAAGTATCATTCGTATAAAGATACTCCAGCATTTTTAAGGTAGGGGTGGTTGGTAAGGGCTATTAAACCCCTCCTTGCCTTCGCCACTGCTTGTAAGCATATGGACAATATCGGAATTTACTGTATTGCTTATAAGTCGAAAATGTGAAAAAGACATCTTTAACGAAGAATAACATTCATGTTAGCTGAAACAGGTGTATTCTAAAGTTGTTTAAATTTATTTTATTGTTCATTACGATGATGTTGTCGTAAAATATAGGCCTATTTTTTTTTTAAAGCATAACTAAAAAGTGTTTTCAACGCATTTTCTTCTTACAAAAGCCTCATGATATCATTAACATTACGGCAAATCAAACCCTTGAAGAAGCCCCATCAACCAACAGTTGCGTAGTTCAATTATTATTACGATGGGCAACAAATAAAACGCCAGCATCAAGGTACAGTCCTTATGCTATCGACATTAGCTCAACCCCAACTACTAACGTGTCCCAAAACCAAGAATTGAAATCTTGACCCATTATTCTGATTAATTAGTGGTTAAACATCTTTAGGCATCTGAAGACGTTAGTTTTTAATCTAGTGTACTCAAAAAGGAACAACAGAAAGCTTTATGCCGCCTTAAAAACCCAATCCCATGTTACGCAAGGTGTCAATAGAGAAAGAATAAGGCCTTGAGTCAGAACAAGCAAGGGCTTAGATAACTGCCAAAATACCTAATCTGTAGACCTCACAAATCTCAAAGATTTTTTTGTGCCTATGTTTTTAGATTTTCATACAAAATACATGTTATTTGGTCAGTAGGCGCAAAAAAGAGAAAAGTAGTTTTAATCTACGAACTTCAAACATTTCTGAAAGACCAAATTTCAGCTTGTAGGCCATTGGTGTCGATGCCAAATTTTAGCGTCGTCCACAAAGACAAGCTATTGTTATATTATCTACACGCCCATATTGTGACAAAAGTGTCTAATATAAGACAGAATACATAGCTACTCAACAGAGATAAGTGAAGTGCCATCACACTTGTCCACAACTTTAGAAACCAATGTACCGCAAAAGGTGAGAGGAAAAAAGTCACAGGAAAAAAACACAGAAAAAAGTCAGTTTTTGCTAGGAAAAAAAGTCACAGAAAAAAAATCACAAAGAAAAAATTTTATGGAAAAAAAAGTCACAGAAATAAAGTCACAGAATAAAGTCACAAAAATCTTTTTAGAAATATTTTGATTTAGTAGTTAAGAATTGTAAAATATTTTATGTTTTTGTTGTGGGTTGTATTTTTTGATAGCATAAATTATTTATAGACGTTAAAAGCATTATGGTTTATAACAATTGTAAGTAAAAATAATCTAAGATACTCAACTTTTGTAGAGAAGTTAATTATAAAAGACATTTAGGCACATCATTGTAGTGCATATGTTTTGCAGTAGGCTATTCTCTGGTCGGCCTCTCCTCAGTAGGCATTGTCCGAACATATTGTGTGATCTTGACGTTTTGTGTCAATGACAGCCTTTGAACCTTGTAGGCTTTCTGTTTTGATACCATGCTTTGTTATGTAATGAGCGTGATAAATGTTGGCAGTAAAGGTGGTTGCATAATTATTGTTGCGATGAGTTGAGGGCAGTAATTCAGATGTTGGTATATAAAAAAAAACCACGATGAAAACCGCGCACTTTGGAGCATTCTATTAAATGCTATTAATATTATGTTTAACATAATTACAATTTCCATACTTCATACTAAATATTTTTAAAAGAATTATAAAAATTACTATGGTATACAACCTACACACATTACATCACATTTAATTAAACCTAATTTAATTTGCACTCTCTGAATATTTAATACATAATAGTATTAACAAATTCCATATAAATATATATTTGTGACTTTTTTTCCTGTGACTTTTTTCCCTGTGAGTTTTTCTCCTGTGACTTTTTTTCTGTGTTATTTTTCCTGTGTTTTTTTTCCTGTGACTTTTCTTCCTACAAGCCCGCAAAACCCACCCAGACGGAAAATGTCTTAGATCTGTGTTTTAATAAAAATGTGTACCTCGTCGCGAGTTGGGACCTTTCTGTAGTCTATTACTACTCTATATCTACAAACAATAAAAAGATAACGTTCTTTTACTTGTTCAATTTCTTGGTTAAATGTATTTGTTGCATATTGTTCAGTTTTGTTAATAGTGATTAACCTAATGGGTTCAAATGTAAAAAATATAAAAAATGTGATTAAATTTCCGGGTGCGCGTATGCGGACACTAATTAAAGTATATCTCTATTTATATTTATAGAAATGAAAGTACGTTTGTCTGTTTGTCCTTTATGAATTACTACATCTTTCATCGGATCGCCATAAAACTTTGTGAACAGACTGCTTTCCTTCCACCCCGCTTGTCTGCCTACCTCACATCCTACTTACGCACACATATGTTCGTATCTATATATGTATGTGCTAGTGTGCTCTATGACTATGTATTTTTACGTTTTTGTTGTTAGGTATAAAGGAGTTTATTAGAAGAAAAGTTAATAATATAGGATCTATAAAAGATTACCTTGCATTTAAATAATCATATTCGATAGGTTTAGAATGAGAGAAATAATTAAAATTATATATTATATATTTATTAGTTATTAATTATTTTTTTCAAATAATATAATAGAAAGGCCTGTTTTCATTTTTTTAAAATCTTATTTTAAATAGTAAATTATAAAAGAAGATAGAGGTTTTATATTTTAAAAAAAAGATAGTTTAACTGTCCCTGAACTATTGTATCAATCGCTGAGAAATTAAGAATTAATAATTACGTGTAACGCTTTGTTAATTAAACAAATTGAATTTTTTTCCGTTTTGAGAAACTCTCTCTTTTTATAACTAATAACGCCGAATCGGTAGTTATCATCGACTATGTCATGGATAATTACATTGAGTCTGACATAGAAAATAGTGTTTGATCGGTTGGAGAGACTATGGATACAATGGGTTGCTATAGTCGCTCACAAAATCAACCGTATGTCCCGGAAGGGTCCTATTTGGCTCCTTGGGCGCTATGGCACATATGTTTGTTTTAAAGCGTACAAATTTGGATTTTACATATATATATATATATATATATATATATATATATATATATATATATATATATATATATATATATATATATATATATATATATATATATATATGAATGATTAAAATGCAGAGTAAACATACGTTTGTTATATTTGTTAAAAGCGAAGTCTTACCTTCAACCTCGATTTCCTCAGTTTGACCAACTTTGTCTTTGGATCTATTGTTGTAATTTGAATAAAAATGTAAACACATATAATACAGGAACTTATTATGCGCTTGTTATGTGAAGTAGTTAAAACGTTTATTGAAAAATAACGTATCAATGTCATATTTACCTATATGTATGTTATACTCTACATAAGTGGATTTACTTGGACAAATTCAAACCTATGGTTTTTTTAATCAGACATGTCAGCAGTTGTTTGCAATCATAAATTTTGTATACTCTTAAAAACCTTGTAGGAACATGGCTTTTATACACTGACTAGTCTGACTAAACGCTAATAATACCACAGAACTTGGTTTTATTGATGGTATATCTTAAACATCTAACAGAGATCATGTATAATTAAAGGAAAACATTGTTTTCAAAACTTACTTGTCTATAGAAAAACTGTCTACTAAATTTTGTTCTTCTTTGGAAAATATACTCTTTTTAGCGCAATTTCTATTCTGGAGAATTGCGTTTATTAACCCGTCATTTCTGGATGGATGAATGGATGGATGGATGAATGTATGAATGTGTGTCCGCAGCTTTAAGTCGTATCTCCTCCTCAACGAAGCAATATCGATGACTAGTTCCAAAAGCAATTATGTTAAGCAAATTACGATGATGAGCATAGGCCATAAAAATTCCGGGTTTCTTTCATGGATTTCCCGGGAAAGCCAAAAAACCTCGAAAAAATGCAGTTTTTGGCCCATATCTCGGCAACCAGACCACTTAGCGACTTCAAACATGTACCAATCGCTTTCTGCCATAATTTAGAACAATATTGCCAAAGAAAGTTTTCAAAAATATTTTTTCTTTTGGTCACAAACAATTTTTTTAATTAATTAAAATTTGGACTGAATTATCCAACCACACCACACGCGTCATCACGTTCAATAGCTGCGCCATCACGTTAAATGGCTGCGTCATCACGTTCAGTAGCTAGGTGCGCAACGGTTTTTAGTCATGTAACTCTATTGTAAATAAAACATGTAAAATACTGAAAAAAAAAATTAATAAAAAACGTTTTAATAACTAACCAATGGTTTTACTAACCCTGCTCTTGATTTACGCTACGACAGAGCTATTTTTAGATAACAAGGAAATTGCGCTAAAATTGTCACTAGACTTTTTAATTACCTTGTTTTTGTTAGCATTTGCTGCAACTGCTGTAACGCAAATCTGAAACAAAGTATCATTCATATATATATATATATATATATATATATATATATATATATATATATATATATATATATATATATATATATATTTATTTATTTATATATATTTATTTATATATATATATATATATATATATATATATATATATATATATATATATATATATATATATATATATATATATATATATATATATATATATACTAGCCGTCCCGGCCAGGCCCTGCACCGGCATCTCTGAAAAACGTATCTGTAAAGGACCATAACTTGTGTGTTTAGTAAATGAATCGGCCTTATGGATAAACTATCGGTCAGCGTGTGCTCGCATGACGAAGGCTAAAAAGTGACCACGAGTGAAATTCTCCGAATATGAGCAATATATCAAAAAAAAATTCCCACGTAGGAACCCTTTGAAAACTATTGGAGATGTACATCGTACCCACGGGGTCAGGAAAAAAATTGTGCTACCCTCGGGAAAATTCCGGAACAAAGTTTTAACTACCCAGAGGCGATATTTCCCTATAAGAGAGGCGTTATCTTCAGGAAAATGCCCGAAGGCCTTTAGAACTGACCGGTCCGAATTCCCTATATAAACATTGTTAAGTTGGTGAAAAACGATGACTATTTGCAAAACCACTTTTTGGGTACTTTGGCTCTGAAAAACTTACTCATTTTTCCATACACCTGTGTAAATGAATCGGCCTTATGAATAAACTATCGGCCAGCCTCTGCTCGCATGGCGAGGGCTAAAAAGTGACCATGAGTGAAATTCTTCAAATATGAGCTATATATATATATATATAAATTACATATGAGGGTGACCGATAGTTTATCCATAAGGATGAACAGTGTCACTGCAATTCACTTTTATTATTTTTATATACCGTATATAGATAAAAATCGGACCCTCCCGTGGCGCCGCCCTTGCGAAATTAAAAGTTATTTTTTACGGAATCCTTCCCTAGAGTGGTATAATGAACTCCACAAAGTCTCATGGCTATCGGATGAAAGATGCCTAACCAACATTGACTTTTATTTTTTTTATATACCATAGATAGAGAAAAAACAAATCGAGCCCTGCTGGGGCGCCAGCCCTGCAAATTTGAATTTTTTTTTCCGCAGAAACCTCACCAGGAATATTCTCAACAACTTCCCAAAGTTCGACAGCGATGTGATAAGAGGTGTGGTAATGCATAAAAGACACACAGACAGACACACAGACACACATACATTGCTTTTTATATATATAGATATATACGTATATAGACAATATTACAAATTCGGCGCCTTTTTGTGCTATTTTCGCTCCCCCTACACTGTAAACTTAAATACGCCTCTGATTGAAGGTGTTGTAAAACAATTTTTTATTTTTCAAACTTACGATAATAATTGTTGGCATGTCCATCAAAAAATTAAAAAAAATATATATTACCTTTCACACAAATTCTAATTATCTACATTTAGTTCTTTAACACTCGTTACGTCCCTTGATAAATTAGGAAAACACAATTACTTCCCTTTATAAAAATCATTACATCGTGAGGAAATAATGTACCTTTTATTACTTTGCTTTGGTGTTGGGAAAAATAAAATTACATACCTAGCGTGGATTGATCAAATGAAGTGTGGTAGGTTCTTTAAATACTGCCTTTTATTTATTTTATACACTGAACGCAACGTTTTCTTTTTATTGTTTTTAATCAAAGACAGTTGAAGTAACAAAAGACATCTTTATTCGGGAACGGGAATTCACGCAGTTATTATATTATCTGTCTTTTTTTTATTGTTGGGAAAAAAAAATTACATGACTAGCGTGGATTTATCAAATGAAATGTGGTAGTTTCTTTAAATAATGCCTTTTATTTATTTTATACACTGAACGCACTGATTTCTTTTTATTGTTTTTAATCAAAGACAGTTGAAGTAACAAAATACATCTTTATTCGGGAACGGGAATTCCCGCAGTTATTATATTGTTTGTCTTTTTTTTTCCGCATGAAGGGAAATTCTTTTTCGTCATTCTTTTTTTTTTTGTGTACAAAGGGGAATTCCTTTTTGTCTGTCGCACTAATAGACTATATATATATATATATATATATATATATATATATATATATATATATATTATATATTATATATATATATATATATATATATATATATATATATATATATATATATATATATATATATATATAATATATGCATATAAAGGAAGTACAGAGAAAGTCTTGTAATCGTGCAAAAAGAAAATCGACATTTTTACAAATCTCGACGTGTTAGAGCTCCCTGAGTCGGAAAAACATAGTTATGCAATCTTGTCCGTATGTCTGTGTGTATGTGTGTGTGTGCCTGTAAACATGATAACTTGAGTACCGATACAGCTAGGTTTATGAAATTTCATATATACGTATTATATCAAAATCGTAGATCCGTCTCAAATTTTGAGCGATTTCCGATAACTGGAAGTGGAACTTGTTCTACTTTCAATTTTTCAAAAGCCTATAACTTGATTACTATTTCAGAGAGATAAATGAAATGCCACGTGTAAGTTCTATTTTTCTGCCTTCTTATAAATTTTGAGCAATTTCCGTCGGCCGGAAGTAGTGATTTACGCTATTTCCGATTTCTCAAAAAACGCATGTGAATTTATAAAGTACTAATAATATCCCGCACTATTATGCACATTTTATTTGGCATTCACTTGGTGTGCAATTCTTTTTTGTTTTTACGAGATTCTATTCTATTTTTAAAAGTTTAAGTATTTAAAATGGATTAAAAGTCATGTCTATATCCCGAGTTGCCATCCCCTATTGTTTCATATAAGAGTATTCGAGAAAGTTTAGGGGAGATCACTCCCGGTTTATTTCTTTCTGCAACTGGTAAGTATTGTACAGTGTTGAATTTAACATACCTTTTCAATTTTCCGAAAACTGAAACGAAAAACAAATACATTGTATGGACGTGATTTTTTATTTTCCCATAATTGCTTAGCATACACACATTTGCTTCGGAGAATAGTCCTTATATGATTACATTTTTACAAAAGTGGTGAAAATATTTCACTTCCATTGTTAAGACTACTAAAATGTAAACTTATATAGTCATCAAATTAATATATATAATTCTATTCATACGCTAATATATAACAAATAGTATTTAGCTGCTAGTAATTAGCTTCCTGCTATATGTGATTATTTAAACATGCACATTTTGCGGTAATTGCTAACCTTCATATATAATTTATCACTAGCATGAAGTTCAGTTTGTATAGACTAATCCTTTCTAAGACGATAGACAACACTAGCAAAGCGCGACTAGTTATCTTAAAGAAGTTTTGCATACTTTAACGAGATATATCATCACAATAATTAAGTTTCAACTTGATGAAGAAGTTACCTTTTCAGGCAGGGATACTGATAAAATGTTAAACATAACTTATGATAAATAATAAACAAGGTGCTACAACCTTTTTTTACGTTTTTAAATTAAAACTTAAGATAAGTATGCTATCTCATCATTTTTTTTTACATTATCTAGTCTGTGTAAATCTATAAAACCCAAAGCCTGGGATTGACATTCATAGTCCACTTTCAAAAACTTAATATTTTTTAATTGCAGCTATTAAGAAATGCATTACTTACAGCGTGAAAAGCAAACAATCAATACAGGAGTGGCAAAGATTAACATTAACAAGAAATTGATGTAGTTTTGCGTATACGATGAAGAGCCTATAAGATGACACAAACAAAGTAATTGTTAATTTACAGAAAAAGATTTAAAAAATAACACTACTGCTAAAATACTCACCTTTAGAATGTGTCTCAATTGGCAGTTGGGAGTCATTAGTTATGTTCCTGTGATGAAAAAGAAGCGAGTGATAATGTATCGGAGCTTATTGTTAAATAAAACACTTTTGTGAACACTATTTACAATTCCAATTCTTGATAATTCAGAATTCCATAGTTCACCTTTTCAAACCGAAAGTTATGTAAATGTTTTCCTAGGTTCACCAACGGAACTCAGAACAAAAATTAAAGAACTTTTTCCCAATGATGTCAATGTGTTAGGGTCGAGCTTAAAATGATAAGCACATTTTATTTAATAAATTATGTACTTTACCAGCTACATTTAAATCTACCTCATTTAATGAGGCCAATATCAAATTAATGGACTAATAAAATAAGATTCGGTAAAACACATATTACTTTGAATACTGTGCATGCATTAAACCTTAGCTTATTAACATTTATTTTTATTACAAAATTTAAAATTCTTTAATGAAAAACTTGGTCTATACCTGTGGTTTATGACGTAATATGTATGCTATGTTTACGCAAATACTTTACGCGTAGCCTACTTATCCAAATGAAATATTTACCTGTGGTCTTCCATTTTGACACTGAGGCTTCTATAATATGTATAAGTTTTAAGTCTCTAGGCTAGTCTAACCGCAACATTTGTAAAACTTAATTTAAAATTCTGAAATGCACAAACATATTATAATTTACTTGCATTAACTAACTCATATTTTTGTATAAACACTTTAAATGTGTTTTTACTTACTGTAATTATATAGGCCTATATATGTATATATATATATATATATATATATATATATATATATATATATATATATATATATATATATATATATATATATTATAATATTTGAATAAGTAACTGATGAATAAAACTTACCTAATTCGATAAAGGAAGTTATGCTGTGCATTTCTGAACAACTCGTCATTTATTGTTGGACCAGTATTAACCTGTTCAAACCGGTTTGAACCAGGGGCGGAACTACAGTGCCGCCAGACCCCGCAATGCAGGGGGGGGGGGCGGGGGCCTACGCCATTTAGGGGCCCAAAGAGGACCATATAAAAAATTATAGTTAAAAAATAATGTTCTTGTATTTTTGACTTGACGGTAAAAGCTTTAGTAAATAACAAACAGATCTACTACAGAAGTGATGTTATACAGTAGTTAACACATGTTGTTGCGTTAAAAAATATATGCCTGAGCTGTAGTGTAAATGGTAGGCAAACGTTCAAAACACTTGTGACTTATTTCCCTTTTTTAAATAGTTAAATAGGAGTGCTCATAAGCTCCTTTTAATATATTTGTACTAAACAAATTAAAAAGCAATTGCTTCTCTTAATTACTTTTTTGCAAACATACATACTAAAGAATTACTTAGCAGAAAAAGGAAATATATTTAAAGTAAATAATATATACAAGAAAACTTACAAATAAACATAAAACGAGAAACCATTACACATACAAAGCTTTCATGTTTTATATTCTTTTGGCCGGCAGTATTACAGCACAGCTAAGGTATTGAATAAACTAGTCTATATCTAAAAAAAAATTCAAAAGAGACTAATACTCTCACACACATGACATCTAATTTGTTTTTAATTGAAAAAAACCCAGTATTTTTTCATAACACGATCAGGCCAGAAATGAGTATTCAATGCTTGTATATATATATATATATATATATATATATATATATATATATATATATATATATATATATATATATATATATATATATATATATATATGGGGGGGTCAGACATTTTTTTTTGCTGGGTGGCCCTTTTTTTTCTTTTTCCGCCACTGGTTTGAACTATTGATTTAGGTATGGGCAGTGGAACCTGTTTTCTTCAAGCCGCCATGACACTGAGTCAGATAATTTATGGCTATATATAGATAGATCTATACATGGGAGTCTTAGTTCTAACGCATCGAGAAATTAAATACGTACTTTGGTCGTAACGGCAAGCCCAATCAGAATGTATATGCCCAGTGTTAGGTTAAGAGGATATATTTAGATTACTGTCAATTTATTTGTAACCTCCAATAAATGAAAATGGTACTTCTTTTCCTGGTTTCTGAAATACCGATAACGTATGTATATTTAGTCAGGGAGACAAAATTGTATTCACCTTTATACCATTTAATAAGCTTACTTCAACAAAAGTTTGAGTAATTTCACGTGAACCTAACTACTTCTTTTGCTGTTTCTGATTTCTATTCCATTTTATTCCATTTATAGCGGATATATGTGCTCTATAATCGGGTATTTTTGCTTTATTTCCAATCATTTTTCAAAGACATTCAGAATTAATTTCATGGTTTTATATCAAAATAGCCGTCCCGACCAGGCCCTGCACTGTCCTCTATGAAAAACTTATCTGTAAAGAACCGTAACGTGTGTTTTTTTAAGCAGCATATACCCGGGTTTATGAAATATGTTACTTTTCCAATTAAATGTTTATATGCAAATATGGACGCATAAACCTAACTCTAACTGTAAACTTATCCCTAATCACAATCAAACGAAAACAAAAAGACAAACACAAACACAAACTAAAAACAACAAACACAAAATAAAACACTATAAGCATTTGTCACGTGAACACTTGAGTATAACCGAAGTATCATCAATGACTCTAAAAGACACTTGAAGTGTCCACGAAGAGCGAACATCTGCTCACTAAGGGCATGTCTTCGCCAACAAAGCGAGCGGCCAGCTCGGTATGTATGTGTTGTTATAGCCATGAATAAGCTAACCCTTTGATCTAATTTAGTTCACCAAATGTAGTAGCATAGTCTCATATTTAGCAAGCCCACCTATACTGTCTATCGAAGCTTGATTTTAATCTACAAATATTATATTTTTAAATCCAATTTTAATGATTAAGTAGTGTGTCAAACAAAGGCGATAAACGTTGTTTTATAGCAAGTAATACGTGTAAAAAAAAAGTAAATAAAAACAAAATGACAATAGTTTTTACAGTTAAAATCTACTATAATCATTTTCGATACTATAACAAAATTGATGTGAGATAGTTTGTCTTAGATATTTTGCCCATGATATTATGTGTCCTGATATCTTTTTCCTGATAGCTATTGTCATTGAGATCATTTGTCCTGTTATCTTTTGTGCTGAGATCATATGTCCGTGAGATATTTTATCTTGGATATTATGTCTGAGGTCGTTTGTCCTGGGATAATTAATTATGATGTAGAGATCATAAGTCATTTATTATTGATTAGTTAAATAGTTGCATAAATAATAATACCCATTCATTGTGGTTGTGCTAAATAACAGGTTATTTTATAAAACATTTTCATATTGATAATTAACAACGCTGTTTTAAACATCAGGTTTGCACGCAAAAATAAAATTTGTTTATTAAAAATGTATTACACTGAAACCGCTTGGTTAATGCTTTTATTCGTCTGATTACATTGTTTATAATGTTGTTGCCAAAACATTATGAGGCTTAAATCATTATAGCTGTATGATTCGTGTAATGAGTTGAATATGTAAAACATTTTAATAGATGTATTTGTATTTAGTTTTGAATTTTAAAAGTTATTTGTTTATACAGGACTGTTTTATCATTCTTGGATTTTTTTTCCTTTTTTATGTTACGCCATTTATTCCTTCAACTTTATTTAAAATGTTGAACATTTATTTAAAATGCAGTAACTGCTTTGTTGAAATTTCTTATTTGCTCTGTTCTGTAATAGTAATAAAATTATCATTATATACTATTGACAAAAACAAACTTTACAGTGATTTTTCCTTTTTAACTGTAAACAATAATCTCTTTGTATTAATATTATATTTAAATCGCTTGTTCGTTGTTAATGTAACGTAAATACTCAAAGGACTTGGGTGATTCAAACACCTGGTGTAAAATATAGAACGTTCAACTCAGTTGACAGTTGAATGAACCACAGTGTTGTGAATAGACCATCACCAAGCTTGAGCTTGTGACAAGAAACTTTAAGTCACGTCATTACATCGGGTTAGTATTAGTGATTTGACCTAATGTCTGTATAAAGATATGTAAGCAATTGATATATTGCTTTTTTTCTAAATAGCGAGTTTAACTAGGTGCGACACTACCACTTAATTTTGACGTCTATAAAGGTATTTTAGTAACCAAATGGTGCTAATGATCTTGTCTATGCAATGTACTTAATGCAGCTAATTAGTATAAAAACATATTTACAATAATCTAAGCTGAACCTTTATGCAATATAAGCTTATAATGCGGCTACCGGTAAAAAAAAACATGGACACAAACCCCTGAACAACCCCCATTAACATAAACCCCTAACATAAACCCTCAAGGACATAAACCACCTGGAAAACCCCTTCCCATCCCCCACCCTAAACTTTTAAAAATAATCCCTCGAGATATAAACTTTCACGTGAAGGTGCGAACTATAATTACCTTTCATTTCTGTGAAATTTTTGTAAATCCAGAAGTAATACCTCACTCTATCTCCGTGTTATAAAATACCATACACACGAGTACAGCTTTTGTAAAGTCGACAAAATTTTACATATGAATTTGAACGTCGGCCTAGGTTAACACTTTTCGGTAACCTGAAATAGTATTTTATTCTACTTCCTTGTGAATATTATAGCTTTTAGATGAACGAAATTTCATATATTACCAATAGATAATATCCGCATGTATCTCTTAAACGTGTGAGAGGTTTTGAGAAAACGGAAAAGGTACTTAGCATATTTCAATCTTCTAAATTTGATACTTTTATATAATATTCCGATAAAGAAACATATACTAAGAACTTCTCTCCTATATGATGTTTCATTTATTACCGTTTCTTTAGCCTTCTCAAACCCAATTTTTAGCGCAATTTCCATATTGGGGGATTGCGATTATTAACTCGTTATTTCTGGATGGATGGATGTATGGATGTGTGTCCGCAGCGTGTCAGCAGTTTTAAGTCGTATCTCCTCCTCAACGAAGCAATATCGGGGACTAGTTCCAAAGCAAATATGTTAAGCAAGTTACCAGGATGAACATAGGCCAAAATAAATCCCGGAATTTCTTCCTGGATTTCCCGGAAAAGCCAAAAAACCTCGAAAAAAGGCAGTTTTTTGCCCATATCTTGACAACCAGACCACTTAGCGACTTGAAACATTTACCAATCGATTCCTGCTATAATTTAGAACAATATTGCCGAAGAAAGTTTTCAAAAATATCCTTTTGTTCGGCCACAACAAATTAATTAAGAATTTTTAAACTGAGCATCGTGTAGGCCTAGGATGATTTAGCGCAAAGCGCTGAGCTTCGAAAGGATTTTACCATAGCGAATGAGCGGAGGTTCGAAAGGATTTTTTTCGACTGATACGGGAGGCTAGCCTGTCGCGACGTGGGATCGTTCGCGTCACTGCGCGCGGTAAAAGAGAGAGAGAGGCGAGCTACGCGTCGCTCGTTTTTTTCCACGTGCTAATGTTTACAAACAAGAGGGCGGGTTTTAATCATAGTCAAATACTGATATAAACGTTTTAATATTTGGGCACCGTTGCTGAATATATGATTTATCTCGATTTAAAATTGTTATGGATAACATAAGGAAATTGCGCTTAAATTGTCACTAGACTTTTTATTAAC